TATAATGCTGTGAGATTCTTCGCCGATATTTATGACTGTATTGTTTGTGTTTCGGCATGATTGCAATCTGTAATATTGTAGTGCTTGTGCTTTAGCATGATTGCAATCGGCAATATATGTTAAAGTGTAGGTAAAATAAAATTGTGTATTTCACTGTATGTCGACAACGAATAATATTAGAAAAAGAAATTGATTCCTGCCAATTTGTTCAGCTTGATATGGGATTACAATGAAAAAAGAGGTCAAATATTGTAAAAAAATATTGATCACTATTAAAAATCATGATGGTAACAAAGTAAAAATTAGACGTGAAATACTTCATTAAGAGATACGGCCGTGTCTTGCACAGCGAGCTAACTTGATAGTTATAACTATACTCGTATAAGAGATAATTTATACGTTTCTAAATTTATCATTTATTATTTAAAAGAATTTAAAGGACTCAGAGCCATACTAATTTATTTATTATTTAGTTTACCATTGTTTTCAAACGTAAGAAATAATTTACAATTTATTTTTAAATCGATTTTTAATACAAACTACCGCTCGTTTATTTCAATACACCCTATTTGTCAATTTCTATGTAAAGAATAAATGTAATGTGTGTATTTTGCACAGAAATAAGTCAATTTGCTAGTATAAACGTTTCTAGCACTCACGTACATCATATTTACATGTATATTACTTTAAGCATTTCCTTACACTGTGTATGTGTTGACGAATCGATATAAAAACAGCATTAGGTATGTACCTATTATCACTACAAACACCTCGTGACTTTACGTATATATTTCATTTTGTTCCAGTGATCAGACATCATCCGGTTTTAGCCGCAATGTCTTCGAAAACTATAATTTTTAAGGAATTTTATATCAATAATGTATAAATGCATGCGAGTGCTGAAAGTGTTTATAATAGCAAAACAGGACTAATTTCTCCAGAATACATATATCACATTTATCCGTTTCATAAAAATCGACAAATCTGGGAGTGTATTGAAACTTATGAATAGTGTATATTGTTGAAATCTAATTAAGGGATTACAATACTCTAGAGCCCGGAAAAAAAGCTAATTTTCGGTAATTTTTTCAGGAATATAATAAACGTAAATAAAAATCTGTTTATTCCTTATTATTCTCTATACATTGAAGTGTAAAAAGAATTTTAAAAAATTTTTTCCTCAACAAAATGATGGCGCCAGAGCCATGGATCCAAAGTTCCTCTTTGCAGAAGTCGTCCCACGGACGAAAATGAAGCTCCCTCACCCTTTGAGCTAGAAGAAAAAACCAAAGATTTTTGAAAAATATATAACATTTTCTTTCGAACTACGTACAAATTTTGCGAAATACCGTTTTTTGTAAAAATGGAGCGCGTTGGAAAAGAAAGTTGCACTTTTCGCTACTAAAATTTCGCACAAAAGTGTTTATAAAAACAATTTGCTACTTATCGCAAGATCCGTAGTTCGAAAGAAAATGTTATATATTTTTTAAAAATCTTTTGTTTTTGTTCCAGCTCAAAGGGTGGAGGAGCTTTGTTTCCGTCCGTAGGGCGACTTCCACACTTTGGATCCAAGGCTCTGACGCCGCCATTTTGTTAAGGGAAAATTAATAAACATTTTTTTTATACTGCAATGTACGATATATAGAATAAATAGGAATAAACAGAGTTTCATTTATGTTTATTATATTCCTGAAAAACATTACCGAAAATTAGCTTTTTTTCCGGGCTCTAGAGTGTTGTAATGCCTTAAGTATATAACTCTTCAAATCTGATTAAGGCGTAATTAAAATACGTGTTTCTTTATGAGTTTCAAAAAATTGATATCTATTAAAAAATTACCATAAAAAAAACGTAAAAACATTTTAAATACACACGTTTGGCAGAAGAACTGTGATAATGTAAAAAATAATGTTATTTTACTAAAAGTAAGAAAATTTGAAGTAAAATTATTCCCCATACAAAATTATTTCTCAAACTCTTGTGCGTAAAAGTGTTGTTTTAATATACATAATAATAAAAATAAAACATTATTTGATCTTTCATATAAAAGAAATAGTATCAGAAATTCAAGGTAAAAGAATTACCTTAAATGAAAGCCCTACCAATTTAAAAATACATTTATAAAATAAAAAGTTTAAAATAGCAAATACTAAAATACTAAAATAGCTTGCAATTAAAAAATTATAAAAATATAAAAATATTTAAAAAATTTTCCATCATATGAAATGTGGTTTACATCAATTTTAAGATTATTTGACTTGAACCATTTATACAAACAATTTTATATTAATATTGTTTACATTATTCTACATTCAGGACTATATATTTTGTAGCAACGCAATGAAATAACACTTTAGTGTATTAATTATAATTTACTACAATGCTAAAAACACTATTATGCATCAGTCAATACAGAAGCTAAATAAAACATATTTTCATAGTTGAGTTATTATATATAAGGAATTAGAATTTCGATATGTTAAGATTATAAATAAAAGCATACAGTATTTATAAACTTGTGCTACATGTGTTCATAAACATGTGATAATTACGATTCATGAATATATAATATTAATGTTATTCATTTAGCTTTTATATTTCAATAAGATAAATATCATATAAAATAAATAATATAAAAATCTATTATCTATTATCTATTGTAAAAATTAACATATATAAATATATGTTAATTTTTACAATAAGTATAAAAAAATATAATACCTGTTACACACGTCGCTGAATTTTGAAGAAAGAATTAATTTTTTAGACTTCCAGAAAAAGTGTCTACACTGCTCATACGTAATTTTTACATATATATTATATATTTTCATATATATTTCTTCTTCCTTCTCTTTCCTGTTATTGGTTTCGTGTTCCCTGAAAATTTAGATGTTACAGTTCCGGCGTCTATTGGTTAGCTCTGGCCAAAGTGAACCCTGTTACGAATACATATTTTAGTCAAACTGTTAAATTGTAAGTGCCATTCTACAATGAATCGACGAGTCGTTAACGAATCGTTAGTCGAATGTCAGAAGCAAGTCGAAAACAAATTACAAACGTATCGTAAGGCAATTATTACACTGTAATGGGCAACGAGACAATGTCACGGCTGCCGATTAATTATAGACTTGCCATTGCCTTTCGACACGTTTACAACTTATTTTCAACTAACTTCAATTCGTTTTCGACTTCTGACCACCGACTCATTGTAGAACAACACTTATTCCACTACGTACACAATGATGAGGTTAAGATCTGTTGCAACGAATTAATTTAAAAATTGACGAAATGTTTTACCTTGAAACTCAGGATTTTCTCGACGAACGATGAAAAATATTAACACGCTGTCTAAACAAAATCACTCTGTCGCCAAATATGTGATACTCGTGTCATCGATCACTGCACGTTACAGGAAACAATCTTTAACGGCTGTATTTATTGTTAGACTGACAAAGGCGAGAAATAAGAACAATTGAAGACCCTGCTGCAAGAACGAGGTAAGTCTATTTCGCAAGAACGAGGTTAGTCCGCACTTGTCTCGGTCTTGCACCAATCTGCTTAGGAGGGCAAGTCCAAAAATCTCAGTTTAGGTAACCAACAATGGTGATGATAAGTGCGGACTTGCCTCGTTCTTCCGAAATGGACTTACCTCGTTTTTGCAGCAGGGTCTTCAATTCGTTCTTGGATAGCGCAAGCACTCTCAAGGACGAAACTGCTGTCTCTATGAAAGATGGAAGAACAATTGAACGATGTCGTACCGACTCGATCTGCAGTTCGCACCGAGGCGCGCTCTTTCTATCCGCAATCAGCCAATCCCTTGGCAGGAAACCTGCGTAGTATTGTTTTGCGCAGACGTGAGCGCTAGACTATCGTAACCGACCAATCATGCCTAAGACCGGTTCTACATTAATTGCATCGTAGCGTCGCAACCCAGA